TTAGAAATAATGGATCTAATCCCCAGTAAAATACTAGCAACCAAATCTAGCAACACTTAAAAAGGATTATACACCATACCTGTGTAAGCTTTATTCCAGGAATGGAAACTTGGTTTAACATCAGAAAATCAATTAATATACTATACCATATTAACAGAACGAAGGACAATAAATGAATATCTCAACAGAGCAAAAAAAAAGCCTTTGACTCTTGCATGACAAAGATGCTCACAAACTAGGAACAGAAGGGAACTTTTTGATAAAAGGGCATCTATGAAAAACCCACAGCTAACATGACACTAAATGGTAAAAACTGATTGCTTTCCCCTTTAGATCAGGAAGAAGACAAGAACGTTCACTCTTGGGCTCTGTCATGGTGGCTTTGCTGAAGAAGACCACCAGGCTCGTGGGACTGGCTGTATGTGAGTCACACAAGAGGCTAAGAATATTGTACACAAAGATTCTTGATGTTCTTGAGCAAATTCCTAGAAATGCAGCATACAGAAAGTATACAGAACAGATTACAAATGAGAAGCTGAGTACAGTTAAAGCAGAACCAGATGTTAAGAAATTAGAAGACCAACTTCAGGGTGGCCAACTAGAAGAGGTGATTCTTCAGGCTGAAAATGAACTAAGTCTGGCAAGAAAAATGATACAGTGGAAATCATGGGTGCCTTTAGTGGAAGAACCTCCTGCCAATCAATGGAAATGACCAATATAATCATGATTAAATGACTAGTGTGTTGATGGGAAACTGATGTAATTAAATGTTCTGTTACATTTAAAAAAAAAATTAACTCTTGCCACTTCTATTCAACATGATAGTGTATAATGAGTAAGGGCAATTAGACAAGGAAAAGAGATAAAAGACACTCAGATTGGAAAACAAGAAGTAAAATTATCTCTATTTGCACCTGACTTTGTATATAGATCTTGTAAATAGAAATCCTAAAGAATGCACTAAGAAACTACTGGGACTAAAAAATGAGTTCCACAAGTTTGCAGGGTATAATATCAATATATAAAAATTTATTTTTGTGTATCTATATGCTAGGTAGCAACATTCTGAAAATGAAATAGGAATATAATTGCATTTATAATAGCATCAAAAATAATAAAATACATAGGGATAAATTTAACAAAGAAAGAGCAATTCTTATACATTGAAAACTATAACACATTGTGGAAAGAAATCAAAGAAGATCTAAATAAATGAAGAGACATTCGTGTTCACAGATTGAAAGACTTCATATTGTTTCTGTTTTTAAGACTTCATATTGTTAAGAGAACAGTGTTATTCAACACAATCCCTATCAAAGTCCCAGCTTTTGGCTTTTTTGCAGAAATTGACAGCCGACTGATTCATACAAAAATGCAAAGGGACTAGAATAGCAAAAAGAATCTTGCAAAAGAAGCACAAAGTTAGGGTGCCTGGCTGGCTCGGCTGGTAGAGCACACAGCTCTCAGGTTGTGAGTTCGAGCGCCATGTCGGATGTAGAGATAACTTAAAAATAAAATCTTTAAAAAACAAAAATTTTAAAAAAAGAACAAAGTTAGACGACACACTCTTCTGTTTTAAAACTTACTACAAAGCTACACAGTGTGGCATATTAATAGACATATAGACTAATGGGACAGAAGTAAAGTGTTCAGAAATAAACCCTTACATATACTGTCAATTGATTTTTGACAAGGTGCCAAGACAATTCAAGAGGGAAAGAATCATCTTTTCAGTAAATGGTGCTGGACAGCTAGATACCACATGGAAAAGAATGAAATTGGAGCCCTACAATGCATCAGACATAAAAATTGACTTAAAATGTATCACAGACCTAAATGTAGGAGCGAAAATTATAAAACTCTTAGAAGAAAACTCAGGTGTAAATTTTAACATTGGTTACACAATGGTTTCTTAGATATAACTCCAAAAATACAAAGCAAAAAAACCCCCATAAACATGAAATAATCAAAATTTCAAAATTCTGAATTGCAAATCATTTCAAGAAAGTGAGAAGACAATCAAGAGAATGGGAGAAAGTATTTGTAAACCACATATCTGGTAATGACTTATCTCTCGTACATAAATAATTCTTTTATCTCAATAATAGAAAGTCAAATTATCCAATTAAAATTGGGCAAAGGATCTGAATAGACATTTTTCCAAAGAAAACATACAGGACAACATTTACATGAAAAGACGCTCAATGTCATTAGTAATTAGGAAAATGCAAATCAAAACCACGATGAGATACAACTTCATATTTACTAGGATGGGTACAATCAAAAAGATAAATAACAAGTATTGGCAAGGATGTGGAGAAATTGAAACCTTCATACGCTGCTGGAGGGAATGTAAAATGGTACAGTTGCTTTGGAAAACTGCTTGGCAGTTCCTTAAAACAGAACATAAACATAGAGTTACCATGTGACCCAGTGTTTCCACTCCTAGAAATATACCAAAGAGAAATGAAAACATATGTTCACAATAACTTGCACATAAAGTTCATAGCAGCACTAGTCATAGAACCAAAACAGTGAAATAATCCAAATTTGTCCACCGACTGATGGAAGGATAGATAAAATGTGGTATGTCCATACAGTAGAATGTTATTTGGCAATGAAAAGAAATGAAGTACTGATACATGCTACAACACGGATGACCCTTGGTAACATTATGCTACGTGAAAGAAGTCAGTCACAAAAGGGCACGTGATGTATGTTTCCATTCATATGAAATGTTCAGAAATAGCAAATCGATAGAGATAGAAAGTAGATTAGTGGTTCATTAGGACTGGGGCTGGGGGTTGAGTAGGCTGGGAAAACAGACTGATGGTTACACAACACTGAATACACTAACAACAAACTGTACATTGTCAGGGGATGAATTTCATGGTATGTTAATTATATGTCAATAAAGTTGTTTTTAAAAAATAGAAATAATGGTTCTCACTGCATGTTTTCAGAAATAGTGATTAATGGTCTTCCTAAAACCTAGAGAAACAGATGCAGCCCTAAGCTGAAAGTTCAAGAGACTAAAATTAAGAGAGTGAAAAGCAAGCCGACTCGTGGCCTGTAACAATTATTTTACAAAAGCCCAAATCAAATATCTTTTATGGTCAAGCATAACCTTTTGTTTAAATTACTTTTTGTAGGGGCGCCTGGGTGGCTCAGTCATTAAGCGTCTGCCTTCGGCTCAGGTCATGGTCCCAGGAACCTGGGATAGAGCCCCGCATTGGGCTCCCTGCTCCGCGGGAAGCCTGCTTCTCCCTCTCCCACTCCCCCTGCTTGTGTTCCCTCTCTGGCTGTCTCTCTGTGTCAAATAAATAAATAAAATCTTAAATAAATAAATAAATAAATAAATAACTTTTTGTATACATCAGCTGTACAATTTCTTGACATGATTAGTCATTTTATTGGGAATTATAGCAATCTGGGTATTTTTTGCTGTACTGGGTTAGAGCTAGGACAGTCATATTTTAAGATTCTACTCTGCTTCTTAGTGATCAGTTATGTAATATTCTTTGCTTTTCGTAAAGGCAAAATTCACTTTTCTAATATTAACCCTAACAATATTTTGCAGCAAAAGAACTAAATTCAGGGCAGTATTTTATACTTGTTGTATTCGAGTGATGATTTAATTCTGTTTTACCAGTGCAGAAATTTAAAATAATAACTCTCCCTTAATATGAAAGAAGTCACCCTGCTTTAAAGTAAGACAAAGGCAACTAAGCCTCATTTGCACAAGATAGTTTACTAAAGTTAAGATCCTAATCACCACCTGCCCCCCGCCCCAATCCTATCCCTAAAAGCCATATCAATATGGCTCTGATGTTCTGGAGCTTTGTACAACCTTGTCCTTAACAGGAAGGGAAGGTGTGATCTTTTTTTGGATTTTGATTTCTCTCCTTTGTAGAAGGTTCCTCCTTTGTGGACATTAACATAAGCCCCAGCAAAGCTTATGATTTTTCAGGGTGTGAAGCACTGCAGTATAAACAAACCCATGTGGGGGGAAGTTGGAATGATAGAATGCTATCTAGTTGGGAGACATCCTGGAGCTGATTAAAAAAACCTTCATCTCTGCCCTGTCACTTCCTTTCAGCAAGATCCTGTTAATGTTTACACAATTTTAAAAGTGTATCAGATATCTCAAGGGATAACGTAAAGAGCCCCTTTGAGGTTTTTTTTTTTTAACTGTTGATGGAAAAATATCAAAATAGGACTTTTTACATTTATTTCATTATCCAATCACAAGTAACGCCACCAAAAAGTTGTTTAACCCTACCCTGCTGGAGAAATGCCAGGCTTACCTTCCTTCCCTTTTTTAAAGAAAATGGAAAAAACAAACTTTTTAAACAGATCGTTGTAACTTAGAAACGTTACACACGATTCCATAAAACGAACTTTAGCCCTCGACAACTGAGTTTGTGAGGTACGTTTTCCCCAGTTTAATAGCTTATGTGCCTAACATAAAACAAATTATCTTTTGAAACGATCACGCTTTTTTAAAGTTACGAAGTATTCAGAGTTCTGCCAGGATAAGAGAAAGCAACCAGCACTTCTACTCCGAAAACAAACCATAAATCAGTTGACAAGCTTGAAAGAATTCAGTTCTAGTCTGTTCGGAAGCCAAGCGTAAATACAGAAAAACCTGTTGGCACGTTTATCTTGCTCTCTAAGTTTCGCGTTTTAAAAACACTGCAATACGCAAATGGCGTTTCTCGTAACGTTCAGGCTCGGAAGAAATTCAGATAAACACCCAGGCGAGGCATCCCGCACGGAAAATGGAGCCTGTGCCTTTAAGGTAAAACCGGCTGGATCCCAAAACGCATTCCACTTCTCCACGACAAAGAGTTTGGGGGAGCGCTACCTCTCGGGTTTCTCCGAGGGACTTGGCGGGTTCGGGCAGAGCCCGACCTGCCGCGGAGCCCTCGGCCGTCCCAGCTGCCCTGAGCAAGCCCAGCGCCCGCGCGGCGGGGGCGCCCCGTGCGCCCCGGACTCACCGCTGCTGGGCTGCGGGGACAGCGTGGAGACCGAGGTCTGACCCATGTCTGGGGTCGCGGGGCCAGGTCTGGCGATCACGCGGCTCCTTTGGTCCTTCGATCATGGGTCCGTTCGCAGGCAGGTTTCCAAGCGCTCATTTCCCGGGCTGTGCGGGGCTGCCCGCCGGATTCCCTCACCTTCTCCCCGGCGCGGGTCTCCCAGCCCGGCCGGCCGCAGCCGGCGAGGCGGATCCTGCCCAGCGGATGCCTGTCATTCCTCTATGCAGATTAGCTGGGGTCAGGGGTCACGGGGGAGGAGGGAGGGGAGAGAGCGAGGGGGAGGGGAGGAGGGGAATGGGCGCAGGGGCACGAAGTAGTGGGAAGGGGAGAGGCCCGGCGGGCCCAGCGGCGCCTGCGGGGGCGGTAAGACCGGCACCCCCCTAGGGTAGTAGAGAGTTCAGGCGACTCCCGCGTAACTTAAAAGGTTCAATGTCAAATGATCCTTTAGGGCTGTAAGAAAAGGAATTAAAGTACTTAGTCACGGTACTTAATTTAACAAAATTTGTTCTTCAAAGTTGGTTTCTTCCTCACATTCTGTTGGCAGTACTGCAGGACTGTTAGAGGTCTGCCCTGTGTGGGGCTTTCCTCGTTTTAAAAAGTAGCTTCCTTTTAACAAACAAAAAAAATTAGTGGCCTCAGTTACGTTGAACAATAAATCTGAAAGATGGTTCTATGTGTGAGATCAGCAAAGGACAGACTGCTCTCTACCACCTAAACTCCGGGAAGCGCACCTCTCCTATTTAAAAAGAATCACTGTGAAATCTCTGAAACCTTGTGGTAAGGTGTTTAAAATATACAAAAAGGTGAAAACAACAAAAACAAAGGGTAATTGAAGCTAACATTCCCTAAAAGTTGAATTAAAACTTCCCATAAGTAAATCTTAACCCCAAATTTCTTAAAAATACGAATACAGATAAATACTCTTGGTATATACAATTGATGAGTAATCTATAGATTATATATATATAGTGCATTATATATAGATTATATATATAGATTATATAGTATATATTATATATAATCTATAGATTACTCATCAATTGCATATATGTATATATATGTGTGTGTGTATATATGTGTATATATATCAATAGTGCATGAGACTGGGTAGTGGTCACATAAATGTGTTCACTTGATGAAATTTCACTGTATACCATGATTTGTGCATTTTTCTGAATGTATATATTTCATTAAAAAGTAACAAATTAACTGTAATATATTTAATTCATTTGCCACAGCTTTCACTTTTCAGATTATCCTAGACATTCCACTCTAAACTATTAAAAAGCTAGATAATATATATAATAAAATAATAATCTAAGTTATTTAATACCTTAAGCATGAAAATCTTTTTTTTCTGAAGTTTGTATTATTAAGATCACACACAACCTTGCTTTATTTTTTGAAAGACATTTACTTGTCTGTTTCATCGTAATGATGTAAGTTGCCCTATTTTGTTCACACCCAAAGAGTCCACCCTCTCTTGTGGAGAATTTTTTCCCCTAGAATACTGTGATCAATTATCTACTTCCCTTTGCCTAATTCATTCTTAAGACACTTGATTTTTTTTTTAATGAAATTGAGGATTAACCAAGATGTGAGTTCTAATTAGGGCAATGAAATCAATCAACTAAATTTCTTTATAAAGTGCAAAACTGTTGTATTTTGGGAACACAGCCCACCTGGGGGACTCATCAGTGAGAGTGAACAATTATAATGGCTCTTCCATTTCTTTACTTTAGTAAGTTTGCCTTAAAACAATAACAAAAAAAATTCAAGTTACCTGTTTTCTCAACCTAAATTGAGAGGAGGAAACTTCACAGTCTTCCTTCCATTGATTGAGCCTAATTAATAAGGGAGGTCATTGATCATAAGAAATACACAGTAAATTTTGCACATTAAAAAAATGTAAATGGAGGGGCTCCAGGTGGCTCAGTCCTTTAAGCATCCGCCTCTTGGTTTCTGCTCAGGTCATGATCTCAGGGTGGTGAGATTGAGCCCTGGTTGGGCTCCTCACTCAGGCGGGAATCGGCTTCAGATTCTCTCTCCCTCTACCTCTGCCCCACCCGCTCATGCTCTCTCTCTTTCTCGCTCTCAAATAAATAAATAAATAAATCTTTAAAAATTAGGTAAATGTAATGACTTTTTTAAATTGACAAAGGCTAAATCTGAGGCTATTTTTGCTATCATTACTTCTTTTCCTTGAGAAACAATAGTGTGTTTCTTTTTTATTTCTTCTACAAATTCTTATTTCAAACATCAAAGGGGTACTCTATAAAATTCTCTTCTTTCAGGATTTGCTAGATCCATCTATGTTTACCTTATTCAAAACCTTTCAGGATTCGCTAGTTAATATAATCTTAGCCTCATCTGAGATTCCTATAATCCCCCGATCAGGTTACACACTTTTCTCTGAAACTTTTCCAGTTCCATTACATTATCCTTGAAACATGTCAACCACAACTGCAATAAGTGTGCATCAAGGTTTCTTTATAAGGGTGGGACAGTTATTCTATTTTGCTGCCTTTTTATCAAGGCTAAGGAATTATACTAATGAACACAGAAAAAGTCTACAGAAATCCCTAAATTCCATTTATAGGTCATCACGTTAGAATTTATCATCTAACAAGAGTATTTTAAGATAATTTCCAAAATTGCCTTTTTCTTGCCTTATTAGAGATAATCAATTATTCAGCCAATTTACAGTCTTACTAAGAGCTCTGGGTGTTAATCCTACAGTTTATAGTTTAACTATGGGAACATTTAATGTCATCGGAAAAATATGGACATTTCTCTGTGTATTACCTCTTTCCAGGGAGTTTATAAAAATGCTAAATAAGATTAGTGCCAACATCTAATTCTGAGGAAGCCATCTATTTATAATTCTTTAGCATTTATCCCATTGGTCCTGCTCTTTGGTCTGTATTTCTAAACCAAACTCTTATCCAGTGATATCCTGATAAATACTCAACACTCGGGTTTGTCTGGAGGTGGGGGACAAGATTGATTTGTGACTTGTAAGTAGTATTTGCCGATTTCCTTAATGTAAATACTCCTACAATGGCCAATTCAACAAGCAGTTGACTGGCTTGCAAAATTTATGTCAATTGGTTTGCAAAATTCCTGGAAATTTACCAACTGGCTTGTATGAGCTGTCTTCAGCATACCACTACTTTCATCCTTTGTGATATGCTGTCATCAGGTCATACCATGACTGAAACTGAGCAATAGTCTATGTTAAGGTCTCCTAAAAATATAGAATGATGACATCTACTGATTTCTCCACCCTACAGTCTAAATATCTTTCAATCCCTGAAAGATTTATTCGTTTACCTCCAGAAAGAAGTTAAAGTGAGTGGATTAGTTAGGCAGAATTTCCCCTTCCTGAATCTGGTTTGCCTTTTGATAAAAAGGTTGGATGTACACATTGAGGTTTTCAAGCATTTTACCTTATCACACAGATTTCACTGGTCTGTCTGATTTGGAGTTATGAAGCTCTCCTACCTGGGGTACCTGAAGTTACACATACACCCCTGATGGATGGAAATCACTAGATCTGCTAGATAAAAGTGAAAAGCATAAATAAACCTAAACTTTAGCCATCTATTTGTGGAAAAGTCTCTACCTACTAGGTCCAAGTCCAAATTGTAGACACATAATTTGGTGGCTAGAGAAGATGCTGTATAATTAGAACAGTCATCACTACCAAATCCTATCCTTTAGGTGACTGCCAGTCTTTTCTAGGCGGCCAAATCTAAGCTGGGAGTGGGAGAAAGAGTGAGATCTTTCTCCCTCAGAGCACAAATGCCATGAATACACATCCTGGGGGTCTGCTCTGCCCAGATGCTGCAAGATCCATTTTGAGACACCAGCAGTGGGTGGGAGAGGAGGGTTAGGCAGACTCCGAGCAGATGAGATGTTGGTCAGAAGAGTGGTGGTCCAGGAAGCAAAGTGGCTGGTGGTGGCCATGTACAAGTAGACAAGGATTCTCTTAATTGCCACTCTTATTCCTGGACTTGGCCATGAAAATTTGGCGAATTACAGACATTTCCCTGAGTCAGGGGAATTACAGTCAAAGAAAAACCCTTTCCTACTGGGAAGGAAATGAAACTTAGTGATTAAAACTGAGTAATTTCCCAAATAGGATTTTTTTCCTCAATGTATTAGTTTGTTTTCTAGATACAATGGTCAGAAGAAAAAACTAAAATTCACAGGTAATCTAAGACCACTATGTTAGCCAATTATTTTCTTTCTATTACCATTGTCAGATTTATTAAAAAGCAGAAAACTGTCTTTTCTTCCTTCCGCTGATGGAGGTGCTAGAGGGCAGTTTTAATTTTTTTAGTATATGTGCTGCCGAAGTGAGCACGCTAGAAGGCAATTTTTAAAGTTAGAAGGCTATTTTAACACAAGGGGTTCTAATAATCAGGTAAAAGAATACATAACTCAGAAACTAAAAACTAATATGCAAACATTTTTAAGTATTAAGGTACTTTTTCTAGTAGAATGTGTGCTGGGTTTTGAAAACTTTGTATTACTCCAAAATTTGGCTACATTTTGTGAAAGGAAGCTTACTAAGAAAAATGTAATTACTAAAATGCAAATTAAAATTTTACTGGATCTTATAATTTCAGTTGAAATTCTGTATACATAACTAGCGTTTACTTTTTTAAATGTTATTCTATAGCATTGCAACCAAATGCTTCCTATGCCTTTTATTTGGACAATTCTGAGAGATTTTAGTTTTAACATGAAAATATAAACAGACAAAGGAGAATTTTGGTTAAGAAAAGAATTATAACTTTGGGCATTCTAGTCATATTAAGCATCAGTAGGAGAGAAAAACACATTCCACAAGTATTAGAACAGGAAACAAACCTGTAAAACAGGCTTTTCTTTCCTATTGTTCTCATATTTTTATGATTTATTTCCTGAGTTTTCCTTCTACTGCTTGCTCAAGCTAGGATTATCAAAATACTTTGCCCCTGCCTTGCCCTTAGTGAGTCTCCACAGAGGGCGTGGTGTATCTCACGTGTGCTTACTTAGTGATTGAGTTGGACAGTTGGAAGATTTATCCTGGAAAATAAAGACCTTATGGGTGGTGCTGCAATTTCCTTTCCCCAAAATTTTCCCCGCCCCAGGAGAAATAGTGTGTAATTTGCTGCACTTCATTCCACAGGAAAGATAAATTACT